TTGAGTAGTTATCAGAAAGTTTATGATTACTTATGTCCTCAGATCTGTCCATTCATAAGCAAGTACTAGAAGACAGTGTTTTACTGATTTTTACTTGCACAGATTTTTTTAATGTGTTCATATTCTGACTCTAAATATGCTTGCTCCAAGAATATCTGCTAGGCAAATGGTATGATGGTTTTAGGGGTCAACGCAATGTAGCTGCCCATAACCTTCTGCATTACAGTGACTATGGGTATCTAATAAAGGGTGAAAGGGAGTGTTGAGTTGAGAACAGCCTCAGTGCTCTTCCTGCCCTCCAAAGCACCTAGGAGGCCAAGTTTCTGTTAAGTGTTATGCCACTGCTCAGTCAGGATACAATATAATTTAGCAAAACCTCATCCTTCACTCTTTCTCCACCCAGTGCCAGGTCTTCGGTCAAGTCTTGTGTCCTTAAAACTAGCACTGGAGTGGAAAGAACAGGCTTCCAGAGCAAAGAGGAGGGTACTGTGAGGTTGGAGTTGGGAAGACATTTCCAAGGTCAGAGCTGGATCTCTGACTTTTCCTACAGTTGTCCAGACAGCATCTAGCAGCCATAGGACTGCACTTTTAAAAAGCTAAAGCTTCCTGCTAGTGTGCATTGACAGTAAGATTCCAGAAGAACACATTTTTTCTTGCAAGAGTTTGCTTTTTTTATCTTCAGGTGTCATGTCTAAAAATGATGATTAAGTATTTTTGGTGTACAGTTGTTTGCAGTACTTGTTTACTTGATGATATTATCACTAATAAGGAACTCTTTGTGATAAAACTGATGTTATAGAAGGAGCATAAAGAGAACTTCTGGAAAGAGTATATTTGGAAATGTTCTGTTTCTGCTTGACTGGCTGATTCCAGATGGTGATGCTGGGGGACTGTGGCTCTGTGCCGTGACAGTTATGCTATGGAGTCCTGAAGGGTTCCATTTTATCCCTTCATGAAACAGCTGGGACTGGTCACCTGGAGATTTGGGTTGAGAAGTTATCAGCATACTGATGACACTCAGCTCTACCTCTTGTTCTCATCTAATTTAGGTGAGGTGGTAAGTGTTCTAAAATGGTTTCTGGATGATGTGATGTATGGGATGAGGGCCAATAAATTAAAGCTCAATTCAGGTAATACGGAAATGTTACTGGGGGGACAGGTTGACTATTCAGGTAAGTGATATTTGCCCTGTTCTGGACAGGAGTGCATTCCTCCTAAGGGACAGGGTATGCAGCTTGGGAGTACTCCTTGACCCAGAGCTATCCTTGGAATTTTAGGTGGCTTCTGTGGCAAGGAGCGCCTTCTTCCAGCTGAGGCCATTCCATCAGCTGTGACCTTACCTGGATAGACAAGAACTACCCTGTTTCCCCAAAAAATAAGACCTAACTGGAAAATAAGCCCTAGCATGATTTTTTAGGATGCTCGTAATATAAGCCCTACCCCAAAAATAAGCCCCAGTTAAGAACGTCAGCCTGATGGATACATTTAGTATGTCTGTTGCAACACAATTCAGGGTTTGGAGAGTTATGCTGATGTTCCAGAAGATGATGACATGGCTGTATTTGAATACATGTAGATTTTTTTGTACGTGAATAAATGAAGAAATGTAGATTGTTGTACATGAAAAAATATCACCTGGAAATAAGCCCTAATGCATCTTTTGGAGCAAAAATTAATATAAGACCTGATCTTATTTTCGGGGAAATGGTAGCAACAATAACCCCTGATTGGACTATTGTAACACACTTTACATGTGGATGCCCTTGAAAATGATCTGTACATTGCTTTGGTTCAAAATAGAGCAACCAGGTTATTGGACCAGTAGGTGTGAGCACCTAATCCTGGCCTTCTGTCGGTTACACTGGCTACCAGTTGAAGCTTGGGCTTGATTTAAGGTGCTGATGATGACATATAAAAGCCCTACATGGTTTAGGACCTGGATATCTAAAGGAATGTTTCCTTCCATATGAGCCAGTCCAGACTTTAAGGTCATTTTTGAAGGCCTCTTCCAAGAGGCCTCCTTGAAAGAGGTAAGAAGGATGGTTATGAGGAGAAGGATCTTTTCTGCTTTAGCACCCTGATTATGGGACTTGCTCCCCAGAGAGGTTTGCCTGGCCCCAACATTTTATTCATCTCAATGCCAGGACGAACTTTTTTATTCACCCTGTTAAATTGTTAAATAATATAGAGGGTGCCAAATACACACACACACACACACACACACACACACACACATTTTAAGAAAAGAAAAATCTGTATTAAAAATTGTTGTATGGTGACATTAGCATTCATTTGATTAATGCTATCTTTTGAGCAAACATCATACTACACATTGTAATTCAATTCAACTTCAAAAAGTAATACATAGATAACAGTCTCTTTAAAAGTGTAGACATTTTGTGGCACCCCTTATATATATTAATTACTGTATTTCAAATACAAGTACTGGCATTTTGGGGTTTTAACTGTTTTGATGCTTTAACTTTGTGAACCATCACAATATAAGACGGTATAGAAAAATAATAAATTAATCAAGAAATGATGCCCTTGTCATGTATAATGATTGTATCATGGGTTGTGCTGGAAGAAATTCCAGCTGGTCCTGCTAAGATAGATAGTAGAACAATCCTGCAGACCACCCAACCTATAAAACCATTTATGTTTCAATGTGTTAATGCCAATGTTATAATAATAATAATAATATAATGATAATAATAATAAAATTGTCTGTTCTTTCCAACATGATGTAGTTACTCTCATTGCATGTTTAGTGTAGCTGCTTTCTATATGCACTGATTGCTATGCCCCTAAACCAAGTTTAGTCATTTGCTTGGGCCTAATAGAGATGACAAATACGTAAGTGACAAGCTACTTATCTGTAGAATTTTTAATCCCTTTGCTTTTCTAGTGTCTTTAAGATAATTCTGTATAAGAGCCCCTTTAAATGCGAGTTGATTCGTGGAATTGCCAGTTTAGATTAAATCCTATTAAAACGGTAGCTTTGCTTCCGAGTTGGGCTTTATACACTATAAAAATAGACTTCATGTTTCTATACAAATAAAAGCCCTAATGCCACTGAGCAATTATAAAGTTAACATGCAATGTGTTTTGGAGCCAACAAGTTCTGCATCACAGTAGTCTTGCTGCACACCTGATACTAGCTTCTTCATTGTGCTCTGTATGGATTGTTGTTTGTTTGTATGCCTTCCCAACAGCTGAAGCTCTCTGTAATATCAGCAGGGAAACTCTTGAAAGGACTTCACCTCCATTGTGCATTCAGCAGATTCTATCTCTTGGAAATGTTGATGGTTCTTCTTTTAGAGGACATCAATAATTTGAAAATTTGAATTTCCTTGGTAACTCTAAGTAATAGTAGCAGCATGATGTCTGAACTTGAGGCCTCATCCTTTTTTCTTGCACATCAAATCCTATGTCCCCAGAAGTGATACACATAGCTAAAATTGTATTTCTTTAAGGCATCTCCTTCATGCTGTGTTTGCATATAAATACAAGTAGTCCCGATTTATGGGCATTTAAGTCTTTATGTTAATACTTTTAAGTAATTTGGGACATGTTCATAACACTATTCCTTCATAACTGTTTCTATATTCTGTACTAATGAGTGGGCCATGGTATTCACTTTGGTACTTACTGGTGCCGAGTGCCCCAGGAAATCTGGATATCTGTTTGCTGGTATTAGTTTCAGTCTTGCTGTCTGTCAAAATTGCATTCTGCAATGTGGACAGCTGTGAGCAAATAGATCCGGCAATGCAACATAAACAAAATAGCTGTATTATAAGATACCAGGAGTTACCCCTGCATATATATATACAGCCAGAGTTGTATGTAAGATGTAAAAACAGTACTTTAAAAGGGAGCACACATTTACCATTTTTGGCTTGCCTGTTGGCAGCATCCCCAACTTTGCCAAGAACATACTAAACCAAATTTTAACAAGTTAAGCAATTGAAACAAGTCCTTGCAGCTAGGCCTGCTAAACAAACAAACAAACAACCTAGCAATACTCCCCATCCTCATGTGTTGTTTGCAGTTGGTATATGCCTTAGAAAAGAAGATGGTCCTAACTTGGTGCCAAAAGGTTCACACCAGGCAGGCCTTGCTGGGGAGATTATTTCATAATTTCAGGGCTACTACAGAAAAGTCTCTCTTTCTTGTAGTCACTAACCATGCCTCCCTTGGAGGTAGCATTTGGAGAAGACCCTCGGATGTTGGGTGTAGTATCTGGGTACATTGTGTTTGAAGAGGTGTTCCAGTAAGTATTGTGGTTTCAAGCTATGTAAGGTTTTTTTTAAAGCTAACACCTTGAATCAGGCTTGGAAGCAAACAAGCAGCTGATGAAAGCATGCTGGAACTGATGTTTTATATTTGGGCTGCCCAGTTATTAGTCTGGCTGTTGTATTTTGCATAGACTGCATCTTCTGAACTGTCTTCAAGGGTTAACCCCTGAGAAAAGGGACATGATTGAAAATGTCATATTAATGATCTTACTTATGATCCTATTTCATGTGATAGTTTTCTTCACATTATTCTGTGGTTCTTCTGTGGTTCAAACTCCTTAGAATATCTTTTATTTTCTTTGATTCTGATAAAAGATGTGGGACACAATAAAAAAAGCTTTTAATAGGATTAAAGCTTTCATTGGCAATATTTTTTGGATATTATTATTTCTGTACATTATTTTTATCTTTTCTTTCACATGGACTTAGAGCATCTTAGTGCTGGCTGGGGCATACAGGGTATCCTTTTGTCTAAACATCCATTGTACCTTTATTCTAATTTTCCCTACTGCATTGATTGATAAGTAGTTCGGGGTATGGGAGATGGAGTTGTGGGAAAACAGTGTGTTGTTAATTTAGTAATTTGGTTCTCTCTCAATGTTTGGGGAAGCCATAAATTTGCTGTGCAAAAATGTGCTTTAAAATTATTTGGTTGCCATAAACCCCCCTTTTAATGCAGTGGATCTGCTGGTTTGTTTTCAGCATATGCAAATGACAATCCAAGCTCTTCAAGATGAACTTAGGATTCAGAGGGACCTGAACCAGCTTTTCCAGCAAGACAGCAGCAGTAGATCTAGCGAGCCATTTGTGGCAGAGGTTACAGAGGAGAACTTCCAGCGACTTCATGCAGAGCATGAACGCCAGGCAAAGGAACTCTTCTTGCTGCGCAAAACCTTGGAAGAAATGGAATTGAGGATTGAGACCCAGAAGCAGACATTAAATGCTAGAGATGAGTCAATCAAAAAGTTACTAGAAATGTTGCAGAGCAAGGGGCTGTCAGCTAAAGCCACAGAGGAGGATCATGAGCGGACAAGGCGGCTGGCTGAAGCCGAAATGCATGTTCACCACCTCGAAACCTTATTGGAACAGAAAGAAAAGGAGAACAACTTGCTAAGGGAGGTGAGTAGATATATGGGTGTCCATTCTATTTTTTTATTTTTTCTATTGCTTTTGTTCTGTCCCTTGCTGCTGAATATTAGTGCAATTTAAGTTTCTCTCCAGTCAGTATTTATTTCTGCTTTTAGCTGCTTTTTGTATGCTCATCTACCTATTTGGTTTACATTTCACCCTTGACATAGGAACTGTATATAAAAGAAATCTCACAGAAAAACTAAAATAGTATTGGATGTTACTGAAAATCTAAAATGTTACTGGATGTTCTGTAAGACGTTTGTATTTGATTATTCCTCATTATTTTATTTGGTCTTTGTGAGGAATTGAACAAAACTTATAAATTCAGTGAATTTTCTACATCATATCTTGTCCTCCTGTCCTTTCTTTTTTGTTTCTTTGGAGATTCTGTTTGAAGTAAACCCCTGTATTTTATTAATCTGTCAAAATATATCTGACATTGTTGTATAGAAGGTAGAAAACCTCCCTGGAATTGCCTGATTGCATAATTAATTTGGACATTGGATTGGACAATACTGTCAGTTTCACAGTTACTGTTTTTGAAAACTTAAATTCTCTCTGTTCATGAAGAAATTTGCAAATTTTAGTGACTTTTTTTTTAAAGACCCAGATGAAATTGTTACCCATGTGGACAGGCCAAAATCAATTGGTCAATCTGTTCCTAGCATGGAGAAAACAATGTTGTATCTGCTTATCATGCCACTGTTAAAGATGAGGTATCTGTCAGAAGAAAGAGGTTGCAACCCCAGTTCAGCATCACAAGCTTGATTAAATGCACATGGATTTGGTCTTGTTTCCAGGAGCAAAACACTTAAGACTCTCTGAATGGATAAGTATCAATTTTGCTTTCTCCATGTTTGCTTTTTAAAATCTGTTTCCTTACTGCCAGTTTTGGCAAGTCTTTACAAAAACATCCAGGTTAATTTAGTTTTTGCACTCAGTGTGGGACTCCCCTTGAATATGATTTGGAAACTGCAATTGGTACTGATTATGTTAATGAGAATGCTTGTGTAGACTAGACATTGAATTATATTACTCCTAGTCTGTATTATTTACATAGGCCACCTGTTAGTTTCCAGGCCCAGTTCAAGGTGCGCAAAGCCCTAAGAGATTTGGGACTACCTACACCTAGATGAGCCTGCCCAACTATAAAGATGAGTATCAGGGACCCTACTTTTTGACCATAAGGTATAAGGTTTTTTCAGTGTTGGCCCCACACCTTTGCAACTCTCTCTTCAAGGAGATGTGCATGGTTTCATCACTGCTGGCTTAAAAAAACTCCTGAAAACACATCTGTTATAATCTGCATATGATGCTGTATAGTCATCAACAGCAGCTGTGACTATGTGTGCTTGAGTGTAATATGTATATTAATGTTTTCATTATATTATAGGCCCCTTGTTAGAGAAATGTTTCCTGAGAAGGGGTCAAAAATCCTTTAAATTAATTAATGGAATTCCTACCCATCTCTCTTCCGAACGTTTATGTGCAATCCTGGATTCATTATATTTTGTGAGCAGGAGACTTACGTAATTCTGGAAGTGATGTCAAAATAATTAAACACTTTCAACAACAGATAGAAATTTAAAATTTAAATGCTGGGCTCTGGACATTCATTTGCTTTTTAGCCTTGGAATCATGGAGAAGGCATTCTAGTAGCAGTGAGGAACACAAGTCTAAGCATGAAATTAATCATGCTTGTCTGGGGCCTCCAATGTGCTTTGCTTTAGCAACCCCAAAAGGGAAGATGGAGGGTTGGAAATGGCAATCAGGAACTTGCTTGCAGAATGGCAGGGTATGTGTAAATACTCTCACTGTGTAAATACTATTTGTGTGAATCACTGGAAGAGTTTCCTAGTGTCTGTAATCAGTTTTATTGGAAAACTGTAAATGAGCATCTACCTATGTTGAGAAGAACAGGGAAAAATTGCAGCAGTAAAGGATGATTGCTCTGTAGTTTCCATGGAAACAGTCACTTTGCTGTGAAGGGTATTGGAAATCATTTGCTGCCTTAGATACATAGCCCAAAATGTATTATTTAAAGTGATGTAAGTATTGCATTCTTCATCATTATTTGAGGTAAGTAATTCATAATGTAAGGTAGACTGTGGTGGTATAACTCCAGGCAAGCAGTAGCCATAATTAATTAATTAATAAATAAATAAATAAATAAATAAATAATATAAAATCAATTTGGCAATTGTTGCTAGGTAATGAGTGTTGGAAGATGTACAGATGGAATAATAACGTATGGGATAGATGCAGTAACATGTATGTTTCTGGATTAAGCAGAACATCAGACACAATACAAAGGAACCAACTCTTATTTAGTAAAGATTGCTTGGTATATATTAATCTTTCTAGTCTCAGGATGTGTTTTGCTGTTCATTTCTACCAAGTTCAATGCAGTATTCAAAACTGAAGATTCCATGATATTTAATGTGGCCCTACTTGCATGCATTCAAATTTTAGATAGCTTGGTAAAATGATTTCAACTAAGACCTCCTTAGCACATAGTGAAGCCTGTGTGGTGAAGGTAACTTGAGAAAAGGAAGATTAGATCTGAATGGCAACACCTTGAATTGGGTCTATGTAAGCAACCAGGTTGTTAGTACAGTTTTCACTGGATATGTTCTTGTTGTTCTGTGTGTCTCAGTAACTGAGCTAATAGCAGAAACTTCTGAAAGACAACTCAGGCATGCTGAACAAACACTGCTGGTCCTGTCTATATAAAATAAATTGGATAACATCAACATACTAATGATGTCACATTGTAAATAGTCTGAGGCCCTGTTTGCACATGATGACAGCCCATTACCCTCTTGTCCCCAGCAAACCATTGGTGTTTGAACTATACAAAGTCTATCTCAAAGGTTTCTTTTAAGCGATGTTTGTTTATTTTAGATGTTTTATACTCCCTTTCGGCAAAGGTTTCCAGGGGGTTTGCATAACATATTAGAACAAAAACCCCCCATACCCATAACAATATCAAATCAGCATAATAGAAATTATTGTTTTAAATTGGGTGTTATTTTTGAAACTATGTAAACACATTTAAATGTCTAGGAGAATTAAAAAAGTTATTACCCACTGCCAGAAAGTCAATGTCTGCACTTGTGAGTCTCCCTGATGTTGGACAGTGGAGCCTGACTTGAAAGGGTCTCTTGTCACTGTCAAGGTCTGGGCAGCTCTGGGGCTCCATCTGGTGGCTAGAACAGAAACATCTGCCATAGAAATTGCCCAATTGGGCACAGGCCCTGCTGGAGTTCTCAGCCTCCTGATAAGTACCAGCCAGAAGACCTGGGGGAATTTGTATATAAGAGCAAGCTCTTCCTCCAGTGGCTGCCTCAGCAATGCAAGTCTTTTGCTAGCTACAGTGTGTATCATTTCCTGCATCTCTCCTGATCCTTACTGGATCTGCTTATTGCTGTATCATGCCTTGCTGTCTTGCTTCACACTGCCTTGCTGCCTTCACCTTGCTCACCACACATTTCTTTGCTCCTGAATCCTGCCCAGTTATCCTTCCTCAGGTACCTGCGCACTGCATTGTCTGTCTTCCTGCTTCTTGACCTTTGGCTTGACCCTTGCCTTGTTGTGATACACTTTTCCAGGTCATGTTTCTTGACCACAACCCTGCCTCTGATGCAACTATCAGTTCTGCTTAAACCCTGCCCTGCCTTGGGTTCTGTTGCCTGGCCCCAGTGCCTCTGTCTTGACTCCTGCTGCCCTAACCCTGGTCCCTGACAGTCACCTTCTTACTTCAGATTATTCAGTCACCAGGTGGGAACCTCTGCAATTGACCTTAATGTTTATGCATGTGGTCATGCTCCACATTTCTTTGTTTCTAAGTTGTGTAGTAGTGAGCCACAGCACTTCAAATTGTTCTCAGAAACAGGCTGGAAGCCAGTGAAGCTTTTTTACATATTGTCAATGTGTGATCCTAATTCTCAATTCCATGCAGTAATCTATATGGATAATTGTAGCTAAATGCAGTTTCCTAGCAGGACTCATGTACAGTGCTTTACAGTAGGTTTGTCCTGGTTGTTACCAGACTGTAGATTACTGTGGTCAGAGTATCTTTGATCAGGAGAGGCTGCAACTGGTGTGTCAGCCCTCATGGTGAAAGATGCATCAGCAATTGCTTAAGCCTCTAATGACAAAGAGTTCCCCCAAGTTGTAAACTTGATCCTCCAGAGGAAATGCATCCAGAATACCTGAACTGATGGGCTACTACCCATAAAAATCTTGATCATATTAGAATTAAACTACTATGTGTACTGTATTTCAACAAGTCTGTCACTGGTCATGGATTCTAATTATATGCATCCACAGCCTCACATGACTCAGGTGTTAAAAAGAACTAGAGTTGACTGTCATCAGCACCCTTCTGGCACTTGTTTCCAAAGTATGAAGCCCCATATCTAATTTTGATGGTCATGTTCATATTCTGAAGAGGAAATGTAGAACTGTTAAAGATCTGTTGTCATGTGATAAACTTCTAATATATATGGATATGTTTAGAGTGTTTTCTAAATTGTGTAACAATACAAAATGAGAAACTTCTTCAGTGCCCATATTTCTGATAGTTATCCAACAACAGGATCTTTAGAGAACTTGATGTCTACTTTGAGAACAGTTGCATTATTAAGTGTTCCTTACACTGAGCAACTTAACTTTGTCTAAGTTAAGACAAAGATATTTTTTTTACTAATCAGTCAGTGATTGATCCAAAATGTTAGATCTATCTTTCCTGCACAGTTGTTTAGTGTCCAGAAGGTGGTGATATTTGCCTGTCAGCTTCAACCTTTTAGTTTTAGTAGTTATTTATTTTATGGCTACAGAATGTTGTCCTTGCTAAAGACAAACACAGGTTTGGAAGAGCAGTCATTGTTGCAGAACTTGACCTGGAAATATCTCTCAAAGAATGCTACTGATGGCTTTTATATTAGGGATTGTTTTGGTTTTACTGACTGCCTTTTGTTACTTGA